CCACTTTGTTTGTAACTCTGTATTGTCTGTATTGTGCTTGTGATATGTTGTAAAATGTTGTATGTCTGTTAATGTTTCCCTCCTTTTATCTTTAAAATAAAAAAAAAAAAAAAAACAGCACCTAAACAGTAAATGCTTTCAGGGCATTTAATGAAGCAGGGAGATCTGAGATACAGGACAAGAAGACAACAACCCCAGAATCTGCTCAGTGCTGGCCAGTCTAACAGAAAACCACACCTCACCATAAGCCAGGGCCCACAGTGACACTATTTCAAAATAAAAGTTAACTTTAAAAGATGGGAAATAAAACTTACAAATAGCAGCAGTTTCTACTGCAATATAAGAAAACATTAGTATTTCTATTAGTTTTTAAATCTCATTGTTTTAAATTTGTTTCCTGAGTATTTAATGCACATAATATAATACACTTGTATGTACTGCTAAGTATCAAACTGGAACAAAATATAATCACAGGACATTTGAACACAGGCTAGGTAGTTCAAGATGATTATTAAAGAATTGTTACTTCTGCTGGGTATGAAAATGTCACTGTAGTTACATAGAAAAATATCTGTATATGCTAAAACATATAGACTATCAAGTATTTAAGGGTACAATGAGATAAGCGTCTGTTACTTATTTCAAAGAACCAAGCTACTATGTGAGACATAGACACAGCACAGACACACTGGCCACATGACAGCCATCATCAACCTAAAGATACACGAAAGGGCATGTGAGCCATGCCACGGAGAAGCCCAGACAAGGCCAACGTAAGAACATCTTTAAACACAGATTGCTGACTACACGGGATCATAATCAGAAAAAGCAGCGGCCGAGCCCGTCTGTTATGTAGCAATAGATAACTGCTGCAGAAATAAGGTTAGATATATCAACAATTATAATAAATGCTTACAGATTAAACAATCCATCAGAACCATGGGTAGGTCTCTAACATATCTTGTTTTTATGCCTTTAGCAATGCCTTTAAAATAGTGAATTTATATTGACTACTTTTTTATCATGATGCAAGTAAGTCAGAAACCATGAAGAAAATGGTAACTTGAAGAACTTTAGATCTGGAAATTGAAGCATGTCTAAATAACTCACAGGTCAAGCAAATTTGTGATTGAAATTAGGAAATATTAGAAAGAAATGATAACGAAAATACTACATGTCAAAAGTTATAGGATGTAGCTTAGGCAACAGAGTAAAATTTATAGCTTTAAATATATGCAGCAAGAAAGGTGCAAATAAGTGAAACATGAGCTGTGATCATGGAATATGGTGAATGTTTAAAGAAAATTTATTACAGAAAAAAACCAAACTGCCATTAACCCTCCTCAAGATATTTCCCTCCTGTAAACCACTTATCTCATCATTGTTGACACTTTCTGAAGCAGTTCTGCAAATCCTCTTTCATGTCTTTTTGTGGCTGCCTTGATGTTATGAACCAATTTATAACATTTACCATAATTTTTGTCAAACAAAAACATTAAAATGTGTTCTCATCTAGTTTATTCATCAGATCTATACAACTTCTGACTCCTCCACAAAGTCAAAACGACCTTGAAAGGTAAATGTTCTGAAACTATTCAAGGCATGGAGACAGCCACAATCACATAATGAAAGACACTCATGAAAGAGGATTTCCAGAACTGCTTCAGAAAGTCACAAGAATGATGGGATAAGTGTGTTTAAAGAAAGGGGGAGTACTTTCAGAGGAATTAATGGCAATATGTCCTTTACTGTAATCATTTTTAAAAATTTAAACATTCACTGTATTTTTTATCATACTTTGTAAGTATCAAAATTAAAAAACAAAACCAACAGAAAAAAACAGTAGAATGCAAGAAACAATAAAAGAGACAATAATTGAATGAAACAAACAGGAAAGGTGAATAAGCCAATAAACTGTTCTTGACAAGGACTGATTAAATTGACAAGACCACTAAGAGAAAAAAAGGGCACAAATATGCAATATTAAGAATGAAAATGGAGCCAGGCATGAGGGTACGCACTTGTAATCCCAGCAGTCAGAGGCTGAGGCAGGTGGATGGCAAGTCTGAGCCCAGCCTGGGCAACTTCACAAGACCTATCTCAAGTTTTTAAAAACATGGGCAGTGTGTACCTGGGGATGTATAAAGGCCCTGGGTTCAGTGTCTAGTACCGAAAAAATAAAATAAAATGGGACTTTACAGATTCTGTAAGAAATTTAAACGTTAAAAAGAAGATGTTATGAATAACTTGATGCCATGTAATTGAAAACTTAAGGCCAGGCATGGTGGCACACACCTGTAATCCCCACACTCAGGAGGCTGAGGCAGGACGATTGTTGTGAGTTCAAGGCCAGCCTGGGCTACAAAGTGAGCTCAAGGACAGCCTGAGCTTATAACAAGACCCTGTCTCAAAAACAAAACAAAACAAAAAAAACAAAACTTCAAAGAAATAAATAAATGAAAATTTTCTTTACCAGACAAGTTAAAAAAATTTTTTTAAAAGAAACAGAACTTAAGTATTTCTCTAGAACCATTAAAGAAGTTTACCACACAAATCTGAACAACTAATTTGAAGCCAACAATACGCAATATAACAACCATTGCTGAATTCCTATCTTTTTGTTTAGTGAAACTCTGTATCTTTTCTAATTTCTTTTATTATTATTTTTATTTTAATTGTTTGATCTATCTTGCATTCTTACATCTGGTAATCAGAGCAACTTCATTGACGGTAACAACACGTAATATAACAACCATTGTTAACTTCCTATCATCCTGTTTTGAAATTCTGTATCTCTTTATCGTTTTTGAGTTGTTTTATTTTTGTCTTTATTGTTATTTTGTTATTTTTTTCTCTTTAAAATAAAAAAAAAAGAAGTTTACCACACAAAGAAAATCTCCACCTAACAAAAGCTCTAAGCCTGGGGTTTTATCCATCAGCTGCATCAGTCATTCAAAGAACAGATAATATCAGTCTTACATAACCGTTCAAGAGCTCTCATACCTAGAATCTGGTACACTGTAGGTACTCCAATGTTTTCTTCCCCTTTATCTCTGAAGGTAAACAACAACTGGAAAGCCATGTCTCAGACAGTGGAAGAGCTCAAAATTGCATGGTAAATTAAGACCTAAATGACCGCTGAAGCTCTGTGTCATACTAAAAGTGTGTAATATTAGAAATAGGTTAACCACAGACTTCTAAATATTGTAAAAATAGTTTTCACTAAATATACACCCACACATACATCACTTAAAATTCAACAAAGTAGAGACTTAAGACATCTTTTGATTTAGCACAATTCTTTTTTGTGTGTGTGTATCTTTTTTTTTGGAGACAGGGTCTCGCTATGCAGTTCAGGCTGGCCTTGAGCTCACTTTGCAGCCCAGGCTGGCCTTGAACTCTAAATGATCCTTCTGCCTCAGCCTCCTGAGTGCTGGGATTACAAGTGTGTGCTACCATGCCTGGCTGATGTAGCACAATTCTATATAAATGTTTTGCACCCTTTTATCTTAACTAAACACAAATTATAAAGATTTATTGTTTAAAGTTCTTCACCAGAGAATTCCTTACCAGAGAGAAGAATGTTCTTTTTTAAAAAAAAAATTTTAAAAATAACAAAACAACAATGAAGACAAAAATCAAAACACAAAAACAACAAAAACGATTCATGACCTCAAAACAAAATGATACGAATTAACAATGAGTGCTACATTACACACCATTACCTTCAACAAAGTTGCTCTGTCCACCAGACAAAAGAACGTTAAGAGTGATCAAACAATCAAAGACAGTAACAAGTAATAAAAAAAAAAAAAACATTGGAAATGATGTAGGGCTTCGCCATACAAGATGGTAGGAGTTCAACAACGGTTCTTATACTGCATATTGTTGTTTTCAGATCAGACATTCTGATTACCAGATTCAAGCATGCAAAATTGGTCAAGAAAAAAGAAAATTCGAAGCACTGACTGACTGTTCCTTTCAATAAACCACAGACATCAGCAATACACCTATTCCAGAAATCCTTGTATATATAAATTTTGTTAAGAATGTTTGCTTGTATGTGAAACTACCAAGAAATTAAATTACTCAAATTTGAGGGTTTCATATTTTTTAAGAAAAGAATTCTAATGCTTTCACCCTTCAACAGACAGTTTCATCTCCTGTCAGATGGAAGGTATCGAGGTCCACACCTCCATCTAATCCTGATCTGAAAATGAAAAGCAGACAATGTCATCACAAAACAAAACCACTTTTATTGTCAGAACAAGACACAACATTGCATTCTTTGCTCGTAAGTGACCAGTAATTTCTGCTAAGAAATCAAGAGCACAGAATATGGCGGAATGGGCGAGGAGAAGCGTGAGTAAAATAACATTCCTACTCCAGAGCCCTTCTTACCTTAACGACAGTCACATCCATGCCAGATAAATGTAAAATTGGGGCAGCATTTTTTTCAAATAGCGTCCTAGCTTTGCTGTAGACAAAGAGAAAAAATACAGGTATTTTAATATAAGTTCTTGAGAAGAATAAAATCCCAATCTTCTTCTCTAGATCAAGATTGTGGAGCACAGGTTTCCTTTATCTGTGCAAGTCCAAGAGGTTTACATTGAGTAATGAGTTCCTGCAGGTAGGAGACCGGTCTGCCTTTTGTCTAACACACTTTGGAATGCTTACGGCTCACACTTGTGCTCCTCTGGAGGAGAATGAACAGTAGAGGGGCTGGGGATTTAGCTCAGCAGCACAGCGCCTGCCTGGCAAGTGCGAGGTCGTGAGTTCAATTCCCGGCACCAGAAAAAAACAAACTAACAAAATAGTAGATACGGCTCTGCTCAAGATAACAATGCCTGATTCATTCAACTGAGCACCTACGGAGTGACAGACACAGTGGAGGAGCTGAGAATACAGCACAACAGAGCAGACAAGACGACGTGTCCTCACGGAAATCACTTGTGCTCACAGGATATATTCTTATATTCTAGTGGAAGGCAAGGAGGGTATTTACTGTAACATTATTCATGCGGCCCAAAGGAATAGACTTAACACAGAATATTACTTAAATCTACCTCAGTGAACACAACCCTTTGGAAAGAAGTGCATCATTTTTGACAATTTCAAGTACTAGGAATATCTTCATATTTTAAGATGCCATCATAACGAAATCTCTGGAGACAGAGCAAAAATTGTTTTCATTATTTCTGCTAGAAAAAGGAAACATTCAAAATTATCTAACATGACCATGGGATAGTTAGTCAAAAACTGGTCCAAAGCATCCAGGCACAGCCATGGCCTATCTGTGTTTCCTAGCACCTTACACCCCCCCCCCCCCCCGTTAGTAACTTTTACAGTGTTTAAAGATTAAAGATATTGTGATGGGGAAGCTTACTCATCAACCTGAGTAGACTAAGGTTCTTGCAGAGTTTCTTGGACCATGGGAACACTATACTCATGGGTGGATTAATTGCTGGTATTCACAGGTGCCTGTGCTATTAGCAGGTGGGTCACAAGGGTGTGCTTTTGGAGGATATTCCTCCCTCTGGTGCTCTTCCCCTCGCTGTACTTCCTTTCTGCCATGAAGTGAGCAGATTTGCTTCACCACAGCCTTCCTCCATGATGTTTCTGCATTGGAGCCAGCTGACCATGGACTGAACCCTCAGGAAACTTGAGCCAAATAAAACTCATCATGTAAGTTGCAGGTATAGGACATTTTGTCTCAGAAATGGGAAAGCTGACTAATACAGATATCCAAGACTATCTTCAGGACTGGACTAAAAGCTTTGCAAAGACACCAATTGTTATTAATCCTCAAATCTCCTAGCTTCTATGATTGGGTATGGCATACTTTGTATGTGATGAATTAACGTATAAACAAATGATTAAACCTGTCCCAAATGTAGGCACGGAAATTCTAAGGAAAAGAGAATGATATGATGATGGTAATGTCTCATAAGATGTCTTGTAAGTCTTATAAGAGAAACTGTTTGACAGCCTTTCGGTGAGTCCTTGTATTTCAAAAGTATCACACACATGATTCTGACAGTGAACTCTTAATCCAATTCAGGCCAGTATTCAAAACAGTATAGGGGTTAAAGGATACAGACACTGTAAAAAGTGAAGGTAAAATGGGGAGGAGCACGTGGGAGCTTCTGTAACTGTATTCACTTTCAGTGCTGTTTGATTTAACAAATATGCATAGTCATAAAACTACCACCACAATCAAGACACAGAACATTTTTTCATTCCAAAGATTTCCCCATATCTGTCTGCAACAAGATCTTGCTTCTACTCCCTGCACCTGGGAACCACTCATCTACTTTCTATTGCTGTTGTTTTGCATTTTCTAGAGTTATATATACACTGGAATCATATCTTTAACCATCACATTATGAGAACAAATGACATGTCCCAAAAAACAATGTCAAACATCTAAATTTTATATTCCTATTCATTCAATCCTCTTTATAAAAAAAGATTTTTTTTTTACTGACAATCTATGTTTTGACTTTCTTCAGTAGATTTTATTTTATTTATTTATTTATTGTCTTTTTGAGACAGGGTCTCACTACACAGTTCAAGTTGGCCTTGAGCTCACTTTGTAGCCCAGGTTGATCTCAGACTGCAAAGATCCTCCTGCCTCAGCCTCCCGAATGCTGGGAATACAGACATGAGCCACCACATCCGGCTCAGTAGATTTTATATAAGAACAAAATACAAAGGTACCTAATGAAGAGCAAAAGTTATACACAGACCAATTCAATGTCCTTTACACTGAAAGATACAACCATCAAATGACTTTCTTAAAACAAAATATTCCTTACTATGAAGTAAAATAGAAATTGAGAAGGTTGGACAGATGTCCACAAGAACTAGCAAGGGCCCACCTGAGCATATGCTAAGCAAATTAAATATACTGTAACTTTTCCACTGTTCCCAGTGATAATCAGAATGAACTCAAAAGGCTAACTGGAAATTTCTCTTTTGGGTTCATTGTTTCTGGGGCTTAACTCAAAATAAGGGCCGAGCTAGGGATACTCAAACAATTCTCTTTCCAAGGTTCCTCTCATTGATAAAAGCAGAGCACCCAGGAGGGGATCAGATCTATTTCCTAAAAACAGCTCCAGAGAAGTCTCGATTGGCCATATCAATCACAAGAAATCTATAACCTCTGAGTTCATTTAAGAAAAAAGGTATAAGCATTTGGTTTCTATTCACATATTTATATGGTGCCATGTTCAGACAATTTCTGAAGTGAAGGTGAAGACATCTGCTCCTGACATTCTATATAAAAGACTGAAGAACAAGTGTTATCAGTAAAGATACATTATTTATTACATAGTTAGGGGCAAGACAGCACCAGGGCTAAATAAAAACTTTATGTACTTACAGCAATTTCCAGGCTCAGGCACACACAAAAAATAATTACTCTTTAATGTATTATTTATTAACACTAAACACACAGTTATCTTATTTCTTTAAGCTCTTCTGAAGTTTTAAACCAGTACTACATAATGAAACAGCTACCTGATAAATTATATATTATGTGTCAGGGCAGAGCCATGATGACAAAAATAGTGCAATTAAATAATGAAAATTTAAAAAAAAAATAAGACGGTGCAGTGTTTCAGAGCAGCTGCGTCCTAGAAATACACAGGGATTCACCTTGTGAAAGGAGACAATGCCGTCAGGAAAGAAAGACTTCACTTCAGGGGCAGTAGCTTAGCCTGTCTTTCAATAAAATTATTATACTTTCAAATAAGAACTTGCCTTTAAAAATGCAAATACGTTTATACATCAAAAAGTAAACCTAAAACTGCTCTGAAAAAATAAAGTTTAATTTTTTAAAAATGTAAGTAGTAGGGTGCATGCTTAGCATGCCCAAGGCACTGAGTTCAATCCCTAGCACCCAAAAAAAAGAATTTGAAATAATTATAGCTTAAGATAGCTTAAGCAAACTGCCATACATTTACCACAAATTAGCAAGCAAGTAACTTATTCCATTGCTAAAGGAACAGAAGACAATAGTTCCATGGAATAGGTAGAAGGAGAGACACAAGAACTCTCGGGAAGAGTGGAGAGCCGAGCAGAGCCGGCTCTGCACTCACCCAGAGCCTGTAATAGCAACAGCAGCTTCTGTCCCTTATACTGAGAACTTACTATGAAGCAGAAAGAATGTTTAACACTTGCAGGCATTCTTTCATTTAATACTAACGGCACCTATTCTAGATGGTCATTTTCAAGGTATGCGCTATTTTTTAAAATTTTATAGGTGACTAAACTGAGGACTTAAGCAGTAACTCCTGCAGCATTCCTGAGCTAGAGAGCAGCAAAACAGGATACAGACCAGGCCCCCTGAAGTCTGAAACCCCGGCTGACTTCTCCAGTGTCTCTCCCATAGGCCATCACTATTACCTGGGGTATTTTGGTCGTGTTGTTTTAGGACTTATTTGTTGGTATTGTTTGGCATTGGTATTAAACAGTCATTCATGGCATAACTGGGGGATTGGAGCCGGGGATACAGTTCAGCGGCACAGTGCCTGCTGGCAAGCTCAAGGTCCTGAGTTTGATTCCCAGGACAAAAAAAAAAAGTCATGATTAGTGTGTTTATGGGGCAAGTGGGGAGATCTAATGAAGCCCAGAAAATATAATTCCACTAGGCCAGGGAATTCTAGTAGGCCAGGGAGAATGTGATCACATTAGGCCAGGAATCCTTTTATGTATAGATAAAAAAAATAAAAAACTTAAACTGTTAAATTGAAAACCAAAAGGTGTGATCTATCCTCTTATCTGTGAAGTCACCCTCACTGCCTTCCAAAAAATGCCTAGCAGTGATGGCGAACCTTCTAGAGCTTCACTGACACAAACAGCCCTCTGTGGCACACGTGCCATAGGTTCGCCACCACTGGCCTAAACTGACAGCAGAGCTCTGCAGCATTTTACTCCAGACAACAGGAACCTTACAATTTGGCCCCAACTTTTCCTTTCGTTCTTCTCATCTTCATTTGATTTATATCTTATATGACCCAATCTGACACATTTAGTAATTACTCAATCTTAAAGCCAAAAAGAGTTGTTCTGAGCACTGGGGATAATAAAAATTAGCATTTTCCCCTTCACCTCTTTCATTCTTGTTTCTAAAATAAAATTTATTTCTTCCAAGGCCATCAAAGTCTTTGTATTCACCTTTCCAACGGATGAGAACAACATCTAACATTGTAGAATTTAAGTTTCCCTATGGAAATTTTTTTCATGAACAGACCTGGAGCTTCCACACATCGTTGTCTCCTCTACATTTCCTTTGTTTCAGTGTGACAGCCACCGAAGCAACACATCATTAGCCTCACGCTGTAATTCACACAACTCCCTCCCCTCCATTACAGACCACTCTGTGACCTAGTAAGCACATACAGAGGTCACTTCTGCTTCTACACCCCAGCCCCATGGGCCATTTCCTCAGTGAGGAATACGCAGTGTTCTCCTCTGAGACCTCACTCAAGGGAGTATGCAGCCTGCCCTCCCAAAGCCACAGTGCTCTTGGCCATCCTGAGGATCTTTCTACAGAGACGGCCCGGTGGTCTATAGCACGCAGCACAACTGTTGTTCCTAGGGGACCTCTTCTAAGCACACAGACTTCGTTCCCATTAACTCTGGAATCACTATTCAACTCCAATTAGACAAGTTTGTTAAGCATCAATTAGCTTTATAGTTATTTCACATTAACTGTTATTTCTACATTGCAAATGACTCTTATTGCCACAACAGTATTGAGTCTAGTTCTTGAAATTCCATACAATGTAACTAGCTGCCTGAGAAGAAAAATGGAATATACAATACATCACAAACTGAACTATACCCTTTGCAAGCTGCAGGATTGAGAAAGACAGTTGCCTTCTTCACTTGTGCATTGGGAGGAATGAGCTGATTGCCAAACACCTAAAAGAGAAAAAAGAAAAGCCTTCAGTAAATTATTCAGCATTTGCTTTACTCAGCTAGTGATCACAAATATTCTTCCATTCCAAAAGAATTTACTTCCACAGGTACGCTGTCTAGCCTGGAGAAAAATATTCATTTATGATTTCATGTTAACAAAACACCATAAACAAGAACAACATATCACTCTATAAGGACAATAAGCTCAATTTTGTATTGGAATAAAGACTGTGTTGTGTCCTCTCTATACAACATGGCTAACATTCTCATAAACATACAGCCAGGGTGGCCACAGGCTGTCAGGAGGGAAGTTTAATCCATGTGTATTTAGTTTTCAGAATATAAACTTTTTTGCCTCCAACTATTAGTAAAACTACTCATGAGAAATCTTCTGTGTCACCAGTTGATCTTCCTATCTTTCTACATACAAGAAGTCAACCTAACAACTCTAGTTGCCGCCCCCTCTTTGCAATCCTGTATGAATAGCAGTCAGTGATGCAGGAAAAGGAATAGGAGGAGTCTTTACTAGGGACCTCATATCTGTCACTTTCACATGCTTGGGTCTAAGAAAGTGTTAAGTAATCTGTTTTTCACAGATTAGAAAACCAAGACTTCAATATTGAAAGTCATGGAGTTCATCAGTGACAAGCCTTGGATTCACATCTATTTAGCTCCAAGATCGAAACTTCCCTCTCAGCTCTAAGAGTGAGGCAGAGGACAAACTAAGGATTTAAATGGGAACAGAGAGGGAGCTAATGTTATGATGTTTGGTACTGGGAATCGAACTCAGGACCTTGCGCTTGCCAGGCAGTCACTTGTGCCTCGGAGCTATAACCCCAGCCCTGTTATGATATTTGAACTGCAGAAGATAATCACCAAAGAGTGAGAATAGGAAAGCACTAAAAAGGGCAAAAATCCTAGCCTTAAGTGGTGGAGAGCAGGTCTAGGCCAAGGCAGCAGAATTCTAGACACAGAGAGTAAAGATTGGAGAAAAATGAAAATTATACACAGATATTTTATTAAGGAACTCTAAATCTACCATCTCCCTGACAGTCTATTAAAGATACTTTCTTGCCACTATTTCTTGCTTTAAAAAGAACAAAAAACACAACTTTCTGACTACCTCAGAGAGACACACTTTCTTTGTGAAGAAATTCTGATACATTATCATTTCTATTTCATTTTCTCTCTTAATTAGACCTTAACATCTCGCTGCCAAATATCCAAAAATTATAATTTGTTCTTCTGTATCGATACTGTTCTGGAATGTGGCCAGAAATGATTCAGCTAACCCAGCTCTCTGGGCTACCAGATTCACAAACCTGAAGTTCTAGATCATTCTTCCTTGTCCTAGGTTTTTTTCCCCAGATTCTTATGTTCTTCATCAGCACATGTTGTATTACAATGATTACATTCCTTGTGGGGAGCTGGTACATCTACTAACACATCTTAATTTTTTTTCATCTCTTGATCCCCTTCCCATCTGAGAAAGAGTTATCTACATTTGCTATCTACTTGCAACTCAAGTCTCACGTTCAGAGTGGATTACAGAGCATCTATAAGACTACACTGAGTTCAGTTTATGGGAGATTAAAAAACATAGATGTAACGACATAGTAATTAGAGAAGGCTACAAGGACAAATCCACCTGCTCTTGGCACACAGAAGCAACTAAACGTGTGCTATGGAAGTGGAAAATTTTCAAAATGGTAAGAGGTCTGAAAACATTGGAATTCCCTCACCTAAGAAGGGAGGATGCTGTGGGGTATGAGTCACCTTTAACTTATTAGATATTAAAATTATTTCATAATTACTTTGATTCGATCATTACACATTGCATACATACATCAAAGTATCGTACTGTGTCCCAAACATACGTACAAATCTTGTGTCAATTAACAAATAATTTTAAATTTTTTTAGAGTTTAGGCTGATTTGTAAAACAGCCTGGAGCCGTGTAAGACAATAACCTTTAAGTAAAAATCAAAACCAAGTTCTTAAATTACAGATTTAGAAGAGTTATACACCAATCCTGAGGTGAGGAATTTACTAATATTATCTGTTGTCACTGTCACCCATGAAAACGTTTCAGAAACGAGCATCAGGATTGCCACCCACTTCCACTAAATGTTTCATTCCTTTGCCATTTTTGATTTTCATGTTTCTTTTTGGGTATTTCTGACCCCAGAAGCTTAAGTAAAATAACAAAAAGGAAACTTAGTCACAGAAATTCATCTGCAAGTGTTACGTACCAATGGCAGGAGGGAATGTGTTCTTCAAGTTGAGAGGATTTACAATTCAACTATAATTACAACCAGATAAGCGAACGCTTAAGTGAAGTGTCATAAAATTGGGATAACAGTGTATATGCAATGCGTCAGCTGTGCTACAGAGATGGGCTTTTCAAATATGAATCAACAATTTTAAGGAGATTTGACTTTTCAGCAGTCACACCTGCTCTGAACTGATATCCTTGGGGGTTATTTGGACGACAGATGAGTCAGGGTTTAGCCAGACCTTCAAGGACAACTGCAAACATAGGCAAATTCCCGGAGCTTCAGCTAGTCCAGCTACGTGTGCTTGAGAGAGATCCAGAAGTAAACAAGTCTAAAGGGGTGGGCGTTACAGCCGCTCTTGCCAGGTGCTTAGCTTCCTCCCGCTCCACTCACAGTTGGCTCTCAGCCAATTCATCCCCTGATAGTAGGAACAACAGCCAACTGCACTGATGCAGGACCCAGTATTCATCCCTGGAGTGGCAGGGGTTTCCTGCACCATGGAGATAAGGTAGGTTTTAATTTTATCACAGAAAACGTCATTACCTGAGCTTCTTGACAGGCTGCTCTCCTTAGCAGGTTATCACTATCAAACCAAACAAAAGAGAACCAACATTAGCTTTCACAGGAGAGTAAGATCCATACAAAATCTGTGGAGTTTTTCTTTTTATACATCTCCTCCATATAAATAAAAATGGAAGTCTAAATCATGCACACATTTGAAAAATACACTTGCTAAATAAAATTTTATGTTAAGTATTTCTATGTTAGGGTATGCAGAATAATGCCCATTCCCCAAATGGTATTAGTATCCATATCCTAATCCCCAGAACTCAAAGATATGTGACTTTACATGGCAAAGGAGATACTAAAGATATGATTAAAATTTATGACTTTGAGATTGAGAGGTTATCCTGGATTATCTGGATGGGCCCAATATTTCTACCAGGTCCCTACAGCAGAGCAGCTCTCCTGCCTGTGATCAGAGGCAGATGGGACTCTGGAAGGATGGCCAGTTGCTGGCTTTGAAGATGGAAGAGGCCATGAGCCAAAGCAAGTGGCAACCTCTAGAAGCTCCAAAGGCCAGGAAGAGGTTTCTCGTGCAGAGCCCCCAGGAAGACAGCTCTTAGCCCAGGGGAACCCGTGTTGGACTTCCGATCCACAGATAAGATATTACATTTATGGTATGTTAAGCCACTAAGCTTGTGGCAATCTATTAGGCAACAATAGAAAACTAGTAAACGTATCATAGGTTTTTCTTCTCCCGTGGAAATTACTCAGGTCATTTGCCAGAAATAAATTTGATGTTCAGTTGCTTCCACTACTTATTTATCTAAATCTCCTATGTTTTATATCACTGCCAGATACTCAGTTATATCATACATGGAAAATTTTGTCAATAGCTAAAATTTTGGCTTCCAAAAATGAAAGCATTCTCTCAGAATATGATCCTCTACCTAATGCAAAGGTCTCTAACCTGTGACCTAAGAGCACTTCAAATGTCTCTGACTGCCTCAGAGCCCTAGAATCTTCTTCACATAGGGGTCTGTGCTCGTGCACACTGCCGGCATCGCTAAGACAGTAACTTCAACCTGGTTAACAACAGTTACAAAAACAAATGCCCACAAGAGATGACCAAAGGCCAAACTGTAGGAAAGAATTTAAAAGGGGGGAAAAGGGTGATGGTCTTGAGTTCTGCACTTTCAGAATAATTTCAAATCTTATTCTAATATTAAGGTTGAATGAGAAGAAATGAAAATAAACAACCTGTGGCTTTTTACCATAGTTGCAGTCAGCGGCTGCTTGATGACTTTTCTTCCACAGCCAGGCTGCAGAACCACCCCTAATGTCACAGAGCAGTCTGCCTGGATAAGAACACGATCCAAAGGGACGTCAGTGGTGTCAACCCAAAACCCAGGAACGATGTTCCTTTGAAATTATGAACAGCACCAATATCTTTGAAGCCCCTATTTGATAAAAAGAGTTCAAGCAGATCAACCTCTTATGAAGTCCGGCTCACAGGCAACCCTGGCAGCCAGGCCCAGGCCCCACTTGCTTGCATGGCTCTGCCCCTCTGCTGCCCAGGGAGGTGGTAGGACAGTTGTACCACTGTCTCTTCTCCCCTACCCAAGACCCACAAATACTCAAGCTTTGTTCTTCCCCCTGCACAGCTCCCCGTGAATGATTTCAACATCAGCAACAACTACAACTACACAAATGCACACCCCCAGATGCTATGAACTCAGGGTACAAAATGAGGAAATATTTAAAAGTAATTAACATGTCAATAATCCTTGATACTTCACATTTATGACCTTCTAGGCAACAAAGGGGTAAAATACTGGAACCACAGGGACCGCCGGAGCACAAGGTAACATCAGGCTTGTCACAGTACAGTCACTCTGCAGCTTCCACACGGCCTTGAGAACTTGGCTCTCAGCCTCTCACCCTCGTGCTCCACTCCCCCAATCACTTGCTTTGGAAACTTTTTCTAGTAGGCCGACTTCCTCATGCCTCCAACCTTGTATGCTATGAACTCATCCTGTAGATCCTTCTGCACAGGTGCTTCAGGCCTCCGTGAAAGCTGTAAACCTGTCTCTGTATCTCCACCCATCTCCACCTTTTGCTTCCTGGTTCCTCTGCCACAATGGAGGACAGAAGGGGCAGAGGCTCCTCTGTCAAGCACGGAGAACATCGTCCTTGCTACATTTCCACCACACAGAATCCCACGGACCTTGCTGAAAAGAGAACAGCCTCAAATGTGTATGTTAGGCACCTTGGATCAACTTTCCCCCTAAATTGTTACTAGAAGTAAAATTTTGATGGTTAACTTGTGATTAAATATATTAATGAACTCAGGTCTCTTGAGCTTATTAATACTGCTTGAGTTATCAGAGTGCTCTTCAAAAATCAAGATTTTGTGATAGTTAATTCCCTGAATTTAATGTGCCAAGTAGAATATGCTGTCAATGTCACCTATGAGAAAGCCCAAATATGCACCAGCTTAGATACTACAAAAGAAAATCCATTATAATCACACTCAAGATCCAGATGGTATTAACCACCTTGATCTTAGTCTCTGAACCAGACTGTTTTTAAAAATCCAGTACATTCTAAAGGAGAACAGATTTCTCCCATTGAAATACAGTAGTCTCTTAGTATCCAAGGAGACTGATTTCAGGAGCTGCCAATATCAAAATCATTACTTGTAACACTTAATACAAGGTAAATGCTATGTAAATAATCATTGTACTGTATTGTTTTGGGAACGAAGGCAAGAAAAACAACCTATACATGTTCAGTACCTACGCATTTTTTTTCCTCATATGCTGGGCCAATTGATTTCTGAAAGAAATTCCAAAGGTATTTCAGCATGGCAACATTGTTGGAAGAGGAAAAAAAAAATTTAAAACTTACAACACAACTACCATGTGCCAGATACCAGGGCAATTGCTTTCACAAAGGTTTAATCTCAGTCACAACCTTGCAAGTCAGCAATTATATTATGTAATATGGAATACTCTCACTTTGCAGATGAGGAAACTGAGGCTTGGGGGAAAGTGACCCGCCCAAGAGCTCGTTGTTTCAGAGTGGGCAGAGCTAGAAATCAAACCAATCTTACTCTAGGCAAACACCTTCCAGTGTTTTTCTTCCACACCGGAGACAGTACCACATAAACAAACACTCTTTCAGATGTAGATGTTCTAGCACATTTACTAAACTAATTGCACGCTCCAAGTCTCACCTAATATAAGTTCTACAATTTATATTCCTATACATTTGTAAATATAAACATAACTCTCCCAAAAGTAGCTGGTGAAAAGAAACTCAACACAAAGTGCTGGATATGGCCCCAAAACAGAACTTGGTTCTACCCAGACGCAGAGGATCAAGTGGTAAATGCTGCATTGCAAAAGATGTATTTCTTGATAAATAATATGACAGCCTAGGAATCTGAGATGTGACAGTAGACAAATGCAACCTTCCCTGCTCTGATAAAGTTTATAGTTTAGAAGAGAACAGGGACAATTCCACAGGCAACTGTGTGTCAACTTGACTTACTGCTGCATACAACAGGCACATAAAAGGGGTACCTAACCTACTTTGGAGGGAATGAGAGAGAGATTTTTACATGAAGCGACACTGATCTAGCAGAAAAACAGAGAGTAGCCAGGCAAAAACAGGGAGTAGAATTCAGGGGGTAGGGCACATATTAAAACCCACAAGTATCAAAACATAACTAATTTAGGAAAGTAAAGCTGTTCAGGACAGCTGGAGGCAGCAGGCCATGCAAGGAGCAGCAAGAGAAGTAGGTACAGGAGTCAGATAAGGACCAACACAACAAGGGCCTTCAAACTATTTAAAGAATTTGGATTTTATTCTAAGGGCCATACAGAAGCCATTAAGAAACCTGACAGGATGTGATTTACACTTTAGAGGGCTCATTCAAAGTGCAGCATGAAGGAGGTCTTAGAGGTCAGGCCAAAGCTGGGGAGAACAGGGAGGCTCCCTCATTAACTCAGCTCAGTGATGATGAATAGAACTGGGATTGTGGCAGAGGACCAGAGAGAAGAGGACACAATCAGCAGATATTCAAGAGGTCAACTTGTAAGACGGGAACTGAAGGAAAGCAGAGTCAAGAATGGTGTTCACATTCTGCACAGAGAAATCTGGGGGGAGACAGTACCATTCACAGAGAAAGAACGAAGTAGGAGATACAGATGCAGAGGGGTGAAGACTGCATGTAGTTCTAGCACAGGCAACTTGAGATAGTAGGGAGAGGCCGGGTGGAGGGAAGAAACAGTTGGAAATGCCAAGTCTGGGATTCCAGGTAGCGGTTTTGGCTAGATGGTAAGGCAAGGGATGAGAACAGACAAACTATATGAGGAGGACTGAAAGAGAAGGAGCAGGAAGACAGTTTCCAGAGAACACCAAGCGAACCTCAGCTAAACCAACACTGTACTTCATCTGAAAGTCAAAGGAAGAATGCAATGGATAAGTTGGGAAAAGGTTAAATTTTCCTATCTTCCATCATTCTCCTTGATGTTGCTTCTATACTTGGCAACCAATCTGACTCTAGGCAAATGCCTTCCAGTGTTTTTCTTTTCCTAAAGAAAAGACACTATGGAATGTGTGTTTCGCTGTTCCTAAAAGACACTATGGAATTTACACCTCCGAGGATCATTTGATCATTTCTATTTCTCCCCTTAAAAGGGGTGAGTGGGGCCAAATACCACATGAGCCATGCCCTTAGCCCTACAAACACAAACTGCTTGTCTTGTCTTCCTTCTGGATTACAAAGTTCTTGAAATCATAGATAATTCACCACTTTATCATCCACAGCCCACAGTGCAGACTCCTGTAGATAGAGGGGACTCAGTAAATACTTGTTAATAAATAAGTGGTAAATGTTTGAACAGAAAGATTGGCTCACTGTGTTCCCACAGGCAGACTGTCCTACAGGGGAAACCGAAGGTTACTCTTTGTACGAGTATCTGCGTTCTTGAACTAACAGGTCCACTGGGATGGTTCTCCAGTGTGAGTCCCATCAACAAGAGCAAGAGTCACAATGGTGGAGAACAGGAT